AATATGTGTATGTGTGAGTGTGTGTGTGTGTGTGTGTGTGTGAATGTATGTATGTGTATGTATGTATGAATATGTGTATGTGTGAGTGTGTGTGTGTGTGTGTGTGTGTGAATGTATGTATGTGTATGTATGTATGAATATGTGTATGTGTGAGTGTGTGTGTGTGTGTGTGTGTGTGAATGTATGTATGTGTATGTATGTATGAATATGTGTATGTGTGAGTGTGTGTGTGTGTGTGTGTGTGTGAATGTATGTATGTGTATGTATGTATGAATATGTGTATGTGTGAGTGTGTGTGTGTGTGTGTGTGTGTGAATGTATGTATGTGTATGTATGTATGAATATGTGTATGTGTGAGTGTGTGTGTGTGTGTGTGTGTGTGAATGTATGTATGTGTATGTATGTATGAATATGTGTATGTGTGAGTGTGTGTGTGTGTGTGTGTGTGTGAATGTATGTATGTGTATGTATGTATGAATATGTGTATGTGTGAGTGTGTGTGTGTGTGTGTGTGTGTGAATGTATGTATGTGTATGTATGTATGAATATGTGTATGTGTGAGTGTGTGTGTGTGTGTGTGTGTGTGAATGTATGTATGTGTATGTATGTATGAATATGTGTATGTGTGAGTGTGTGTGTGTGTGTGTGTGTGTGTATGTGTGAATGTATGTATGTGTATGTATGTATGAATATGTGTATGTGTGAATGTGTGTATGTATGTGTGTGTATGTGTGTATGTGTAAATGTGTGTATGTGTGCATGTGTGAATGTGTGTATGTGTGTATGTGTAAATGTGTGTATGTGTGCATGTGTGAATGTGTGTATGTGTGTATGTGTAAATGTGTGTATGTGTGCATGTGTGAATGTGTGTATGTGTGTATGTGTAAATGTGTGTATGTGTGCATGTGTGAATGTGTGTATGTGTGTATGTGTAAATGTGTGTATGTGTGCATGTGTGAATGTGTGTATGTGTGTATGTGTAAATGTGTGTATGTGTGCATGTGTGAATGTGTGTATGTGTGTATGTGTAAATGTGTGTATGTGTGCATGTGTGAATGTGTGTATGTGTGTATGTGTAAATGTGTGTATGTGTGCATGTGTGAATGTGTGTATGTGTGTATGTGTAAATGTGTGTATGTGTGCATGTGTGAATGTGTGTATGTGTGTATGTGTAAATGTGTGTATGTGTGCATGTGTGAATGTGTGTATGTGTGTATGTGTAAATGTGTGTATGTGTGCATGTGTGAATGTGTGTATGTGTGTATGTGTAAATGTGTGTATGTGTGCATGTGTGAATGTGTGTATGTGTGTATGTGTAAATGTGTGTATGTGTGCATGTGTGAATGTGTGTATGTGTGTATGTGTGAATGTGTGAATGTGTGTATGTGTGAGTGTGTGTATGTGTAAATGTGTGTGTGTGTAAATGTGTGTGTGTATGTGTGTATGTGTGTATGTGTGTATGTGTGTATGTGTAAATGTGTGTATGTGTGCTCTTGCAATTGCCACAGTGCACTGTGGAGACAGGAGGACAATTTGTGGAAGTTGGTTCTCTACCCATGTGGGTTTTGAGAACTGAACTCAAATTGTCGGACTTGGGGGCAATCCTATACTTAAAGACCTGTCTAGTTACCAATTAATGTCTGTTTCTCCACCAGACTCTACCTGCTGAGCTATCTGAGTTTTCAATGGTCCTTTAAATGACCTCACATTTGCCATTGGGGGATTCTAGAAGGTCCCCCATGTGACTGTCAAGGATAACTATTTGTCAGGCCTGGTTGTGTAGACACATAATCCAAGCTACTCCAGGCACCAAGGCAGGATGCTTGCCAAGTTTAAAGCCTGCCTGGGCTCAGTTCAAGCTCAGCTTAGGCAACTGAAGGAAACTCTGTTTCAAAAATAAAGAGAAAAGAGAAATCAGGCTGTAACTCAGCAGCAGAGTGCTTGCCAAGTGTTCACAAAGTCATGTACCCTCAGTGTCACAAACACAGTTTATCTCTTCAATCTAATGCTGTAGATGCCTAGTGAATTACATCCTGAGCTGGCTGGCTGGAAGGCTGGAAAACACTGTAGAGTGATAGGGTCTCTGAAGGACTAATTTGCGGGAGGAGGCTCATTTGGGCAGTTTGGAGGGCTCCTAGAGGGAAGTGAGTTAGGGTGCTGGCTTCATTCTTGTCCTCTCTGTGGGTGGCATTGTTGGTCAAGTCCCTCAGATGCCAGAGTGAGGCCCAGAGCAGACTGAGCTCAGCTGGTGCCGTCTCTCTGGTTACCTAAGGAAGCACGGTCTGTGCCTGCCCCACACCCTATGGAGTCTGAGAGAGCTCAAGTGCAAAACAAAGGCATTGTGTCCTGTGACCTTGAAGCTTCCTGTGGATCTCATGTTCTATGACATTACAAGTATGGGGAAGTTTCATGGAGGAGGATTTGATGCTAGGCTCGGTGTGACCTTTGTCCTTCTTCAATACAAAGGGAGATAGGGGTGGTGGAAATCAGGCTGCGAGGGACCCCAGGGATGTTTTTCTCCAAGACCCACTGAGGTGGCAGGCGGGAAGGTCCCAAGTCTTTTTTCTTCCTCTCTTTAAAAAAAATAATAATTCTTTTAAAACCATATGAAAACTCTGCGAATGTATCATGTCTGCCACTCCCACCCCTCTCCAGCTCCTCCCATGTCACCCTCCAAATTTATGATTTCTTTTAAAATAATAATAATAATAATAATAATAATAATAATAATAATAGAGATAGGGTCTCACTACATAGCCCTGGCTGTCCTGGAACTCACTCTGTAGATCAGGCTGGCCTCAAACTCACAAAGATCTGCCTGTCTCTGCCTCCTGAGTGCTGGGATTAAAGGCGTGTGCCACCATGCCCAGCCCCTTTAATTATTATTGTTATTGAGTCGATTTAGCTCTGCTCATATGTACATGTGTCCAGGGATGACCACTTGGGACTGGACAAACTGTGTGGGAGAGTGAGTCTCTCCTTCTTAGCAGGCACTGACAACCTGGAGCTCTTCATCTTGGGGTGGGACCTTGTAGAATTTTTTCCTGTCCACATTGGCAGGTCAACTGATATGGTCACTGTGTTAGTCTTTCTCAAGCAACTGTATTGTTGAGAGCTCACAGTTGCAGCTTCCCTAACATATATAGATGATACCATGTCACAACAGATGTCCTGGTTCTCTGGCTGTTACAACGTTTCTGTCCCCTCTTTCATGGTTTTCTCTGAGTCTTTGGGATTATGTTGTAGATGTATTGGTCACAGTCACTTATTCTCTGCATTTTGACCACATATGTACCCCTGTAAAGAAGCTACTTCGATGAAGGATGGGAGCTACACCTACCTTTGGTTATAAGGATAAGTTAGCAATTACATTGGTTTAGGAAATGGCAGTAGTATCTTCTCCTCTGGCCTATGGCTTCTCCAGCCACAGGTAAGTGGCTAGGTTTACAGTACCAGGAACACATTCTCTCCTGTTGAGTGGACCTTAAGTCCAACTAGACAGCTGTTGGTCACTTCTAAGATAAAAGTGTCACTATTGCACCATTGTGGGGATCCTTTGCGTGGTCCAGAGGCTTTACAGTGGGTAGGGCTGTTGATTGCTCTTCTCCTTTGGTAGCATGCTTAGCACCTTCTGTCACTATGACAGCCAGGCCTCAGGGAGGAGGCTTCCAGGAAGTTCTAGCTTGATTCTTCCAAGCTCTGTGTCCTAAGTGTGTGGTGTCTTCATCAATCAAGTCTTACCTTATTTGTTGCCTTCTGGGAGGCAACAAAGGGCAATGCCAACATCCTACATTGTTTTGAGAGTCTCTTGGATAGCCCCTGACCAAAACCAAAAGGGAGGTCCCCATGCCTGGCACCGATTTTCTGTTCTTCTAGATAGTCTATGGCTCTTGGGAAGTGCCACAACTTCATTTAAATTATTTATATATGGCTTCTGCAGTTACTCCATGTTACACACATCTAAAGATTCAGAACTAGGATCCACAAATAATAGAGAAATCATGGCGTTTGTTTTACTGGGTCTGGGTTACCTCACTTAGTAGAAAATATCCTAGCTCCATCTGTTTCCTTGGAAAGTTCATGATTTCAGTTTTCTTTACAGCCAAGGAGTATTCCGGTGTACACCTGTGTCACACCCTCACAGCATTTGTTCTTTTGGTCTTTGACATGTCACGTCACCCCAATTGGAACGGCTAGGTATTTTTCACATCTTATTTATTTCTGTGTGTATTTTTGTGTGTGTGCACACGTGAGCACAGCATGCATATGTGTAGGTAGACGATAATTTGTGAGAGTTGATTCCACCTCACTACTATGTGGGTCCCACTAATTGAACTCAGGTCACAGGGCTTGGCAAGTGCTTCTGTCAGCTGAGCTATCTAACTAGCCCCTCAAAGTAATTTAGTTTGTTTGTGAGAGTTGATTCCACCTCGCTACTATGTGGGTCCCACTAATTGAACTCAGGTCACAGGGCTTGGCAACTGCTTCTGTCAGCTGAGCTATCTAACTAGCCCCTCAAAGTAATTTAGTTTGCATTTCCCTAATGACTGAGTGTGTTGAGCACTTTGAGATATTTATTAACTGCTTTATCTCTTCTTTTGAGAACTCTCTGTTCAGAACCATAGCCCATTTTGTTTTCTTAGCTCTGTATTTTAGTTATTTTATATATGCTGGGTATCAACTCTTGATTTGATGCATGTCTGGCAAAGCCGTCTCCACTCTGTGGGTGTCCCCTTCACTCAGTTGTGTCTTTCCTTTGGTGTGCAGAAGCTTTTCTGTTTTATGAGATCATATTTGTCAATTGTTGACCTTAATCCCTGAATGGATGAGGTCTTTGGTCTACTTGGAATTGATTTTTTTTAAAGATTATATTTATTTACTTATTATGTATACAACATTCTGCTTCCATGTATATCTGCACACCAGAAGAGCGCACCAGATCTCATAATGGATGGTTGTGAGCCACCATGTGGTTGCTGGGAATTGAACTCAGGACCTCTGGAGAGCTGTCAGTGCTCTTAACCTCTGAGCCATCTCTCCAGCCCCTGGAATTGATTTTTAAGGAGGGTGATAGATATAGGTCTTCTTTCACTCTTCTACATGTGGGCAAAGCTTTGTTTCACAAAGTGTCTCTGACAGTGGTGGGCATATTTTGGAGCTGAGTTTTCTCAGTGGGAGCCAAATAGATTCCAGCTCTTTCTGACTCCAGGCAGCTCCATGTGTGCCCCCTTCCCAGGGTACATGAAGCTTTCTCTTGGGTCTTTTTTTCTCCTCTTCTCTGGCTTCCCTGGTTCCTCATGCCTTGAATTTCTTTACTACCCCTGCCTCCTGCAAGGCTTCTTTGTGTCCCTTGAGGTGCTGCCAATGGCTCAGAGAAAGAGGAAGGGGCTTATAACCTCCTGGTGAGAGCAGAAACATGCCTGTGCACAGTTGCCTGGCACAGGGGAGTGCCTCTGGGATTGTAATAATTGTCAAGAATGACTTCCTCATAGCATCTCGAGAGTGTTTAGTAGTTGAATTTCTGTTTGTTCTTGTTTGGAGTTGCATCCTCAAAGACCCCAAATATCCCCCCCTCAGAATCCACCAGGTGCTAGGAGAGGAAGCGAACAGCCATCATTGTTCCACTAAAGAAAACCCTAGGAATTCAAATGAGAGGCTTGGCAGTTCCCAGGGGGCAGCTGATCATCTACAGGGTGCTTTCCTCCTGGGGACCCTGCCTTAGGCAGAGGCTGGACCACAATATCAGGCACAGATTAGGTGCTCCTCTACTCGCTAGAGCAGGGATGAAATCCATCCTGGGAGAATCCCAGGCCCCTGTTTCTTCTCCCAGCCTCCCAGGTGTAGTTTTCTAGAGGGTCACTTCATTTTTGTAGTGGGGTGCCTCTCATTTATCTCCTGGAAGGGCTTGCCCCAGCTGGAGGGGTCTGGGGTAGCAATGTTGGGAGGAGTAGGGCCACAGGATTGGCTGCTGTTCTACAGATTCTGTCTAAAGATAGCTGCTTGGTGTGGGGCAGGTTCTGTCTCACATGTCATGGATGATTGCTGGGTTGGGCTAAAGGAGGGACTGGGTGCCCTGCTTTTCTGTGTCATTTCTACATCGTGGCATGTCTTTGCTGCACCACCTCTGCCAGCCTCTGGGTTGCTCAGGGCCCGTGCTGCCTCTATGAGGTTGGATCTCTCTTTGGGAGCTGCATTGTCCTGTGTCCTGCATCTCCATGGCGTGTGGTACCTCCACTGTGTCCTGTACATGCGCTCTCTTCTCTCTCCTTCTCCAGGAAGCCTTCCTTGAATACCCCCAGTGATGTCAACCGTTGCCCCAAATCGTGGCTCATGTCTCTAGATGCTTCCTTGTCTTTGGCTTCTAGGGCAGGGCCTGGTCTCCTGCCTTAGGCTCTGCACGTGCCACGCACCTATTCCCCAGGTGTGTCAGAGCAGATCAGCCGCAGCAAGTGGCAGACACAGTCAGACTGAGAACATCTTGCTCTCCAAGGCCCAGCCCAGGGACGGGAGGGGATAAAAGTCTCGTGCCAGGGCCCCAGGGCCTGAAGCATACACACTGTGACCATCTCCAGTCTGTCTGAAGCTGCGGGCCTGTCTGTCTCTGCCATGTCTCTCTCCCCTTGCCGGACCCAGAGGGGCTTCAGTGCTCGCTCAGCATGTTCTGCTTTTTCAGGGGCTCGGGGCAGGGCTGGCTTCAGCAGCAGGAGCCTTAGCTCCTCCAGAAGATGCAGAGGAAGCTCTTGTGAGAGGGTCTGGGGGGCAGAGGCCAGGCAAGGGCTACGGTTTGGGCGTGGGAGTGGAGGGCCTGGTCTTTCCCAGTGCCCTCCAGGGGGTATCCAAGCGGTGACAGTCAACCAGAGCCTACTGACCCCACTGAAGATTGAGGTTGACCCCCAGTTCCAGGTGGTGAAGACACAGGAGACTCAAGAGATCAGAACTCTCAACAACCAGTTTGCCTCCTTCATTGACAAGGTGAGGGTAAATGCAGTCCCTGCTTCTGGGTCTCCTATAGACAAGTGCTCTAGACAAGATGAGCTAGAAAGAGGAGAGATGACCTCTTTCTGCCACTTCCTACATCACTTCAGTGGCAAGGAAATCCTCCCAGAGTCTAAATAGTGGCTTTCTGGTTTGCTGATGCCTTGCTCTTGCATGGCTGGGGCTCCGGGATTGAGAACAGCTAGGTAGCGATGAGAAGCCTCATCTCTATTGTCCCATATAATTTTGGATGTGCTCAGGTTCTTATGGGAGGGCTTGAGGTTTCTCTGCACAGGCAGAGATGGAAGGCAAGAGTAAGGGGCCCATGAGAGGGTCTTTGAGGCTTCCCTCTCCAGAGGCTGTGCCAGGAGAGTTCCAGGAGTCTCAGGACCCTGTGTCTGGTTCTAGGTGCGCTTCCTGGAGCAGCAGAACAAGGTCTTGGAGACCAAGTGGGAGCTGTTGCAGCAGCTGCAGGGAAACCGCAGTCCTCAGGGCCTGGAGCCCATCTTTGAAGCCTGCCTGGCCCGGCTCAGGCAACAGCTGGAGGAGCTGCAGAGAGAGCGAGGGGCTCTGGATTCTGAGCTGAAGACCTACCAGGATCAGGAGGATGAGTACAAATCCAAGTAAGGAACACAAATTTCTGTGTGCTATCTAGGGGGTGTGTGTGGAGTGCTCTGCCTGCCTGAGGGGCTCCTCCATGTCCAGCACCCAGGGCTGCATGATTGGCCTCTATCTGGTCCCTTGGCCTCCCCTCTCCTGATTCACAAGGGTCATCTGTACTATGTAGAGTACAGACCCTCCAGCCCCACCCAAGCTTGGAGAGACCTGGGAGAAATGTGGAGGTCTCTTTCCAGAGGCTTGAGGCCCAGCTTCAAGGGTCCATGTGAATGGTCAGGACTGGGAAGGGCTGATTTAAACAACACCTTGACAGCTTTCTCGAGAAATTCTTGTTTAGCAGGCTATGTGGCTAGTGTGACTCAGACATCCTCTGGTCTTGGGTGGAGGGCAGTCAGTTTAGTGTACCCGTCCCCAGGCCCACGGTGTAATTCACAGCTGGACTGTGGTTCTAGACTCTCTATGTAGGCAGCCTAGTGATGCAGACAGCCCTGGGCTGAGGGGTGGTGAGGGCTGGAGAGCAAGGGTAGGCCTCCTGCTTCTCTCAGCCTTGGTTTCTACTGTTATAGTCTGGGAAAGGGTCATTTATGTTTGTGGTCTCCAGGGCCACTGGAAAAGAATCAGGGAAGGTGGGGTAGGGAGAGAAGCCCCCAAGGTTTCAGGTCTGATGTAGAGAGTCCTGTTCTCTCCCATGAAACCCATATTGCCTGCTCAGAGGCATCTGAGTGCTTGGAAAACCATCAAGACATGTGGCCTACTGTTGTGTGGGATACAGGCCAACTCAGGTATAGATAGGGTATGTCAAACCCGCTGGAAGGGAATGGGAAAAGGGTCAATGGTGGCTCCTGACTTGGGCCCTCTGAAGAGAAAAGGGCACTCAGGGAGAGTATGGGGGTACAGAGTGCAGGGGTGGACTGTAGGAAGGGAGGGTATGGGGTGCAGAGTGCAGGGGTGGACTGTAGGCAGGGAGGGTATGGGTTGCAGAGTGCAGGGGTGGACTGTAGGCAGGGAGGGTATGGGGTGCAGAATGCAGAGGTGGGATGCAGCTCTAACATGGTGCTTGGCTGTCATTTTCCATTTGCAGGTATGACCAGGAAGCTCACAAGCATGCCTTGGTGCAGAATGACTTTGTGGTCCTTAAGAAGGTGGGAGGGGTTCAAATGCTCCACCTAGAAAGACCCCACCATGCTCTAAATCTGGTCCCAGGCTGGGAGGTCACAGGGTGGAGATACTGACTGAGGACAGGCTGTCACTCTGCATGTAGTCACTCCCTGCCAGAATGGGATATTTACCTAGACACGGGCACACAAAGACAGGTCTGAATGAAGGGCTGTTCAGCAGGCTCTGGGCTTGTTGCACAGTGGCCAGAGGTTGGGGGGCAGGGGAGGAAGTGCAGACAGCACAGTGGGTGGGGGCTAATCAGGAACAGTGTCCCACAGATAGTGTGGAGTAGGGTGGAGTGGAGAGAAGAAGGGTGTCTCCAGACACAGTGTCATGGGGGTCATGAGAGGGAGTGGGAGATGCATGGTTTCTGTCTCCCTGTCCTCAGGATGTGGATGAGGTATTTCAGAGCAAGATGGATTTGGAAGGCAAGCTGGAGTCTCTGAGAGAATACGTCTGCTTCTTGACACGTCTGTATGAAGAAGTAAGGACCCGTGAAGAACAGGGAGAAATGACAGAAGGGACAGGATGGGCAGGTTCCCTGTGACCATGAGGGGAGCCACTAGGAGGGGAAGCCTATTAGGATGGCTTTGGTTTGTGGTCATTTGTCATTTGACAATCAGCTACTAAGCATTATTGTGGGAATTCACCCATGAATTCCCTCATGGCTGCTTCTACTAGGAGGCAGGCAGAGCACCAGTCTTAGTAAATATAAATTCCATCCTCTGTTAGATAGTGATAGGTGCTACAGAGAGCAGGGAAGGGGGCTTGGGAATGTGGGTTGGTGGCAATTGCAAATGAGCCTGATGTAAAAGGTAAAACCAAGCTGAAAATGTGAAGGAGGGATGAAGCTCTTCAGACAGATAGTTTCTGGGACTCTGGGCAGAGGCTGTGCCCTTAGCCACAGAAAGTGTGAGGTGACCAGTGTGGCTGGGGCAGGAGGATTGTGTGGAGGAAGGTGTGATAAGGAATGAGAAGAGTGACAGGGACAGACAATTTTGGGTCTTGTGGGTCTTTTTCCTTTATTATCCACACTGCAACCATCACCGGAGACCACCTCAGTAGTTCTTACTCTGCAAATCTGGACAACTACTGGGTGATGGTCAAGTGGATGGCATTCAGACATCCTTCTCCCCTTATGGGGACAGGGGACAGGGAGCCAGGGTGGTAGACACTGAGTTGGTCTCTCCCATAGGAACTGGGACAACTGCAGACCCAGGCAGATGACATGTCTGTGGTGCTGTCCATGGATAACAACCGTTGCTTGGACTTCAGTGACATCATCGCTGAGGTCCGTGCCCGGTATGAGGAGATCACACAGACTAGCAAGGCTGAGGCAGAGGCCGTGTTCCAGACCAAGGTATTGTGGCCCCAAAAGCAAGCTGAGGATGGCTGGGTGGTCACATCGACACCCCAGGGAGGTCACCAACTTTGGTGCTATTGGGGCAGCTCTGATGACATCCTTGAGGTTCAGGGCTCAGAGGATAGGGCTGTGTCCACGGATCAGGAAGGGGACAATGGCAATAAAGTAGGAGATAGGCTTGGACCTCTGCAGGCATGTCTGCCATGAGCTCTGCAGTGCAGTTGGCCGGCACTGGGAAAAATGCAGACATCAGGAGGCATCTCCCAGGGTGGGAAGATGGCAGATCCCTGATTCCGGATTCAGAGACAGCTGTCGACTCAACCAACGGTATTACCTTTGTGTCCTCAGTACCAGGAACTCCAGGCATCAGCCCAGCTTCAAGGGGATAGCATGAAGGAAGTTCGGATGCAGATTTCCCAGCTTCGGCAGACCATACAGAAGCTGCAGAGTCAGATTTCCAGCCTCAAGATGCAGGTAGGCTCCCAGTGTCTACTGCTGCATCCACCTGCTGCTTGGTGCCTCCATCCTCCACCACGCATTGTTTCCTTCCCAGATGGGATTATAGGAGGATGAGTAGGGGGATCTGGATAATTGTCTGGGTCTCTGGACCATTTATTTTGTGGCGGGGAGGTTGGAGACAGATCTTCAAGTTACCTCTGAATTGATTTCGCTGGTTCCCTGTGAACTCCAGCCTTCATGCTGGCTTTTCTGGGGCAGAGCCCTTGAGCTCTTGTACAGCGCCAGGGAGACTGTTACAGTCTCCATCCGGATGGACACCTTGTTTCTGTCTCTTTGGAGAGAGGGTTAGTTTACCTCTCAGTTCATCTCTTCTTTGGACTCTTCCTCCACAAGCAAAAGGGAACTTAAGGCCAAGCACTGACTTTTCTGGTTTTCCTTTGGGAAAAGTGTGTGAAAGAGAGGGAGAGACCACAGAAGGGAGATGGGCTGTGGGTACAGCCGTCTCAGGAGATCTCACATGAGGCTGAGGAGGTCTGAGGTGCCATGTTGTCCCAGACAGGAAGGGTGCTGACTTCGGGTTATCAAGTTTGTGCTCATGTTTCTCAAAACGGAAGACTAGATTTGAGACCCATAGTGGGTGATGAGCATAGAGTACATGTATCAGGAGAGTATATATGTGGTGGATGCATGTGTAAGATGCCTGCTGGCTATGTGGGTGGGGCTATCTCACAACTGCACAGCAAGTGCTCCTGGCCCAAGACATCTCTACAGCCTCCCCTCCTAAATCTGATTTTTATTTAAAATTAACATTATTTGTATGCATATTTCGCTTGCAATAATGTCTGTGTATCATGTGTTTGCCTGGTGCCCATGGAGCCCAGAAGAGGGTGTTGAATCTCCTGTAGTTACGGATAGTGTAAACCACCATGTGGGTGCTGGGAATTGAACCTGGGTCCTCTGAAGAGCAGTCAAAGCTCTTAACCACTGAGCCATCTTTCTACTTCCCGCTTCTTATTTTATTCACCTATTTATTCTTATTTTGTGTGGTTTGGTGTTTTGCTTGCATATGTATCTGTACACCTGCATTTCAAATAAACACCAGGGCCAGCCCCGAGGAGCCCTAGCCTCTTACTCACTGCATGTAGTCTTCCTGGGAGAGCCTGTTCCTTTTTCTTTTTCTTTTTTTGTCCGTTACTTTTTTTTTTTGCACAGACCCGAGAGACTGGGCTTTTCATGCTGACTCAGAGTGCTGGTTCCCTACTCAGTCACCCATCACCTTTCCGAGACATGGAGAGGAGATCTTGTTCCTGGTCTGGGGTATTTGTGTGGGGACAGAGCAGTGACAGCCTCTGGAGGATTTCTTCCTTTCTAAATCTGAGATGATGTTGAGACGCCCACCCCCACTTCCACTTCTCTTCTCAAACCTAGCCTCTCAGTGTCCAGTGACTGGGTTTAGGACTCAAACTAAGTACCATGATGCTGTCATGAGATACTTAACTGAGTATGCCAGCCAAGACCCTGCTTCCAAGAAGAAGATCATGTTCTGAGGTTCTGGGTAAACATGAAGATGTTGCAGGAACTCCAGTGGACCCCTGCCACAGGCAAAGAAGCTGTTAGGCAATATTTCCCCTTAGGATGAGAGGGGCTGGGCATGGTGTGGTCATGCATATTTTTGAGCTCATGAGATTAGGGTCTATCTGGTTCTTCAAATTATACCCATGGTGGTTGTTTTGAGACCCTGTAAGGCTTACAGCTACTTTCTACCTCATTCCTGCTCCCCTCCAGAATGGTACTCTGCAGTCTGCCATTGCCGATGCTGAGCAACACGGGGAGATGGCTCTGAGGGATGCTCAGGCCAAGTTGGATGAGCTGGAGACTGCTCTGAGAACAGCCAAGCAAGACATGGCCCAAATGTTGCGAGAATATCAGGAACTGATGGGCACGAAGTTGTCCCTGGACGTGGAGATTGCCATGTATCGAAGGCTGCTGGAGAGCGAGGAATGCAGGTGGGGGACCTGGAGGGACCTGGGGAAGTGAGACTGGGTTGGGGGAGAATGGAAGGCCAGTGCAGGCCTTTCTTTGTTAGAGGAGATTCTGAGAGGTTTCCTTACCCTGTAAGTCACTAAGGACAACCAACCCTGCTGGGAAGGATTTTAAATTAGGGATTGTATTCATTACAGTCTTTCTTAATTTTATCCCTCTTGTCCTTCCTCCCCCAGGATATCTAAGGAGTACACCAGCCAGGTCACTGTCTGTGAGTATGAGGGGCCTTTGAGAGTAGGGTTGCCTTGTGGTGCTGAGGGCCTTGTTGTGACCCTAGTGCTTTCTTGGCAGCCACGGCAGAAGGCAGAGTTGTTGTCCCTGGAGGAGTTGGTGGAGGCCAAGTGGTCATACCTGGAAGAATTGGAGGAGGCCAAATGATTGTGCCTGGAAGAATTGGAGGAGGCCAAGTGGTCATACCTGGAAGAATTAATGGAGGCCAAATGGTCAAGCCTGGAGGAGATTGTGGAGGTCAAATGGTCATTCCTGGAAGAGTTGATGGAGGCCAAAAGGTCATTCCTGGAAGAGTTGATGGAGGCCAAGTGGTCAAGCCTGGAGAAGACTGTAGAGGGCAAATGGTCAAGCCTGGAGGAGTTGATGGAGGCCAAATGGTTATACCTGGAAGAGTTGATGGAGGCCAAATGGTTATACCTGGAAGAGTTGATGGAGGCCAAAAGGTCATACCTGGAATTGTTGATGGAGGCCAAATGGTCATGCCTGGAGGAATTGATGAAGGCCAAGTGATCGTGCCTGGAGAAGACTGTAGAGGGCAAATGGCCATGCCTAGAGGAGATTGTAGAGGCCAAAATGTCATACCAGGAAGAGTTGATGGAGGCCAAATGGTTATGCCTGGAGGAGATTGTAGAGGCCAAATAGTCATGTCTGGAGGAGATTGTGGAGGCCAAATGGTCATGCCTGGAGGAGTTGATGGAGGTCAAATGGTCATGCCTGGAGGAGATTGTAGAGGCCAAATGGTCATTCCTGGAGGAGATTGTAGAGGCCAAATGGTTATGCCTGGAAGAGATTGTGGAGGCCAAAATTTCATACCTGGAAGAGTTGATGGAGGCCAAATGGTCATTCCTGGAGGAGATTGTAGAGGCCAAATGGTCATGTCTGGAGGAGATTGTGGAGGCCAAATGGTCATGTCTGGAGGAGATTGTGGAGGCCAAATGGTCACGCCTGGAGGAGATTGTAGAGGCCAAATGGTTGTGCCTGGAGGAGTTGGTGATGGCACTTGTGGACTCAGAGGCTGGAAAGGCAGCTTTGGATCTAGAGGCTGCTCTAGCATTGTAACTGGTGGCTTTGATGTCCCCCAGGGATCTGGGTGCAGTCCCAGCATGAGTTCCTGCTCCGTGTCTGGCTCTGGCTTCAGTTCTGGCTCTGGCTCCTGCTGCCGCACCATCCTGAAGAAGACAGTGGAATCAAGTCGGAAGACATCTGTCATTTACTGAGTGACCAGGCAATCATATCCCTTCTGAACCTAGTAGCCTTGCTCCCATCCCTTCCCCCATGTCCAATGTCCACAACCCGAGACAGCCCATTGGGCACTGGAGAAAGTCAATAAAGTCTGCCTGCTTGCTGTTCCAAGTGCTCAGCTGGCAGGCCTTGCTCTGCATACTCATTTGCATCTCATTTGTGTGTGTGTGTGTGTGTGTGTGTGTGTGTGTGTGTGTGAGTGGGTGTGGGCAGGTGGGCATAGGCTCTGTTCTCCAGCCAGCAGCTGTTTTCACTCCCTTCTCCATGACCTTCAGGCTGGCCTGGAAGTTCTTTTGGCTAGGCTTTGGCAAGACTCCATCCCTGGTTCAAATATCCTTCAGTGGGAGTGTCTAGAGGTCACTAACCTGAAACTGGAGTCTGGGACCAGGGAGTGCAACTTGGTTCCTCCCCCTACTCTTTCTGCATCTGTTTCTCCAGCTGTCCTGCACAGTGCTACAGCATTCAGTTCCCCTGTCATCGTCCCCTCCTCACAATGTTTGTTCAGGGCCAAGCCACCTTTGTGCTGTGTGCCAGCACTGGGGCTCCTCTGACAAGCACCAGGTCCTGGACACTTCTGCCACCTCCAGTAAGTCCCTCCCACCTGTGAGCCTGAGCTTCCTTCCAGGCCAAGGGCTGGCCTCTTGCCACAACTCTTGCCACAGGGGATCTGAACTACAGATCCCCTGTGTTGGGAATGTGGGTTTTTGGGAGGCTGCTTTTTGTCCTGTCCCTCTTTCCAGTCCGCAGCTCAGTGTTACCCAGGGCAGCAAGCCCAGTTCCTGTTACCCTCCCACAATATCACTGCAGAGCTTTGACCTGGCCTTGGCACTCCTGAGTAGGAACATCCCAGCAGGTACACAGTTCAGTCCAGATGCTCAGCAACAGCCTTGAAATGAGTTCCAAAGGCATTTACAGGAGAGGCTGAAGGGTGGAGGCAAGTGTAACTTCTATGCCATTATTTTATCAGCAATTCAACTCTGCCTCCAGCTCTCACCCCTTATCAAAAACAAAACAAAACACAAAACAAAATGTAATCTGTGCATTTCTCCAGCCCACTCTCCTTGAGAGAAAATCTGGGGACTTTCTACAGTGCCAAGTGTGTGCTATGGCGTCCCCCTGGGCATCACAGCCGTCTTATCCAGAAAGTCCTTTACATCCTGGTGTGACCCTGAGGCACCAGTCAAACATGCTGCTCCATCTCCCACACCCCCACTGATGTTACGGGGGCTCTCAGAACTGCTCATCAGTTGTCTACAGAGCTCATCCCCCAATCAAGGCTGTCTGCTTGGACTTGTTCTGGTCCTGACCTCTGCTGATTCTTCCCAAGTCTGCATTGGTTTTCTCCTCCTGGAAACCTTTCCCACTGCCCCACACCTGAGCTTCTGGACCTTTCCTGTGTCCTGTACATTCTGGTTGAGTACTGGTAGGGGAAAACTTGTGTCTCTTTTAGCCTGGGAGCCCCGGGCTATTTCTTCCTCTTGAACCCAGGAAAGAGATCTCAAGGGGACTTGAAATGATGTCTCTAGTTCTTGCTGGTCTCTGGACCTGTCTGAACTTGAGCCTAGAAATGGTTTTCTTCTCTTTTAGGATGTTCTGAGGGAAGCCAGGCTCATGGGAGTCAGGAGGTTCTGGCAGGATTGACTTTTCCCCTACTCTGGGTGCTGTGTGGGTCTCTTTAATGTTTCTTCTCTGCTCACTTTCCCGTCCTGGGGCCTAGAGAGAGTCAGCCTGGCTGTGCTGCCAGCTCTGTGGCCTGGGCTGAAGGATGTCTTGAAGTTCTGCTACTGTGCCAGGGAAAGCATGGCAATGGACTCTTCATCACTTATCTGGGAAGGAGCTGTGCCAACCTGTGTGCAGGAGACATGGTTGGTGCTTTGGTCCAAGCTCTACCATTCCCAGTGATGTGATTTTGACTTGGTGGGGTATTCTCTCCATGCTTAAGTGTCCTCATTCATAAGAGGACTCTAAGAACATCCCGGAGTCTTTCCTAGCCATCTGCCATGTGGATGGATGAAAGGCCTGAGCTAACATGGGGGTTAGCTTGTTAAACAGCTACAATAAAGCCTACAATAAAGCTTTCGACTCCGCCCGGTGATTGGGGTCGTCGATGTCCTGGACCGAGATCCTGGGGGCCTGAGCCTCAAGGGGTCTTTCAAAGGCACCCCTGGATACAGTGCTGTCTATGTGTTCCCAAGGACCAAGAGGCTGTGATGTTCAGGTGGACAGCTAGAGAGAAGTGCTTGTCAGGCTGTGAGGGAGGCTCCTAGGATATTGGATCCCATGGCTTCCTGGACAGGATCCTGGTGGCTGCTGAGATGGATGATCTTTGTGTTCCCTGGTCTTCTGCAGCCCTCATCCAGCAGCTGGTGGAAGTAGAAGCAGACACCCACAACTTATCACTGAACTGAACTGGAATCCAGATGCCGAGAAGGACGAGTGAAGAGCAAAGGGGTCCAGACCAGGCTGGTGAAACCCACAGAAACAACTGACTGAACATCAGGGAACTCTTGCTCCCCAGACTGATAGATGGGATACCAGCATGGGACTGATCCAGACCCCAGGAACATGGATTTCATTGAGGAAACCTCGGAAATCTACAGGACCTCCTGTAGTTGTTCAGTACTTATTCCTAGCATAGGTGTGGACTTTGGGAGTCCATTCCACATAGAAGAATACTCTTTGAGCCAAGGCACATGGGGGTGGGTCTAGGCCCTATCCCAAAAGATATGAAAGACTCGGATGATACCCTATGGAAGACCTCACCCTCCCTGGGGAAGAGAAAGGATATGTTATAGGTAGGGTTTTAGTTGGGGGGTGGTGGTAGGGGAGGATGGGAGGGAGAGGGAACTGGGATTGTCATGTAAAACAATCTTGTTTCTAATTCAAACAAAAAAAATCTGAAAAAAAAGAACATCCCGGTGTGGTAGCTGGGTCTGTAGCTTCATTTAGGAGGCTGAGGAAAAAGGATTGCCATGAGTTCAAGGATAGCCTTAGCCTCCCAGTACTGACTGTGATTACAGATATGAGCTATCACATCAACCAAATAGGGAACTTTTTTCTACATTATTATTATTATTATTATTATTATTATTATTATTAATTGTGTGTGGTAGGTCAGGTGATATTTTTTGTTTTTTGTTTTTTGAGACAGGGTTTCTCTGTGTAGCTTTGGAGCCTATCCTGACACTCTCTGGAGACCAGGCTGGCCTCGAACTCACAGAGATCTGCCTGCCTCTGCCTCCCAAGTGCTGGGATTAAAGGCGTGCACCACCAACGCCCAGCTCAGGTGATATCTTTTTTTAAAAAAATCTAATCTTTATTTTATGTGTATTGGTGCTTTGACTATTGGTGATGGAACCCCTGGAACTGGAATTACATACAGTTGTGAGCTGTCATGTAGGGGCTGGGAATTGAACCTGGGTCCTCTGGAAGAGCAGTCAGTCTTCTTAACCACTGAGCCATCTCTCCAGCCAGGTGATATCTTTGGGAGCTGATTTTCTCCTTCCCAGGTGTGGGAGCTGGGAATGGAACTTTGATTTCTAGGTTCGTGCAGTAAGTGCTTTTACCCACTGAGCCATTACCATGACCCCAAATGAGGAACTTCTTAATGGCCTTGTCCCTGGAGCACATAGTGGGTCCAAATGAGGAACTTCTTAATGGCCTTGTCCTTGGAGCACATAGTGGGTCCAGTCCATGCAGTGAATTGTACACCACTGTCACCTCTTTTCACAACCCTGATTCCTTTATTTGGCTACCACCCTGGGAGTGAGGACCCGAGAGAGGTGAACTGTCTTTACAGGAAGGATTACTTCCCAAGGAGAAGAGAACCGAGGCCAGGGACCTACAACAGTAAGGAGCAGGGAAGAAGCCACCACCTCTCCAGTAAGCCAGCTAACTTTTTCAGGTTATCTGGGACCAAGGCGACTTTCAGTGTTAATCTAGGACAGGCCAGGGAAGAGCAGGCATTAGCTCCCCTGTATAGAGACGAAGTGTCATGAGACATGGCACAGCGAGTAGTTTCTGGAACAGTGGGGAGGGACCCCTAGGAGAAGTGTGACCCAAGATGGCGGGAGCTAGCAAGAATAAACATTTCTCTCCCTTCTGATCTCTTCTTAGGTCAACCTGGTTGGAAGAAGGGAACAAGAGAGCAGTGTCCAGGTGTGTAGAAGGTGGGCATGGCCCTGAGGTAGGGCAGAGACCAGGGAGCATAGCCAGGGCTGGGTAAAGGGCTGCCATTACTGATGGAAGGTTCTCAGGCCACAATGGGTCACACTGAGTACCTGCTGATGATAATATTCATTCTTACTAGACTGGAAAGTCCTTCTCTTGGGAGGTGACTTGTCCTGTGTCTTCCATGTTGTTCACATCCGAGCTGTTTTATATTAGGAATGTCAGTTGCCTTTATCAGCTATTCTGACCCATGCTTTTGGTGACAGTAGCATTCAAATCCCCATACTTTTGTCTTCTGCTAGCTGGTGAGGACTTAGGCAGATGAGAGTCTCTAGAGTTGGAGGCCCTTGGTAGCTAGCAGTAGAAGTGGCAGTAGGCTGTAGCTCTCCCTTCCTTTGGAAACCCCTCCTCCCTGGACTTCCTCCATAATATTTGTGGGAGGCCACAAATTTGGATCAAGTTCAGGCACTTACTGCCAATGGATAGAACCTTGGTAGGAGGCTCACCAGCCAGTTAATTAATGCACTATAGCCATTAAATCACCTTTCCCAGAGTGGCTGTGTGATTCTGGTGTTAGTAGGAGACCTTTGAAGTCCTGAGTGCTTGATTCATGGACCTTTGTAATTCTTTACTTCTCTTCAGTTTACAATTATTAATATAAGCCCCGCCAGTTTTAAAGGTATGGGATTTATTTATTTATTTATTTGTTTATTTTTTAAGACAGGGTTTCTCTATAGCTTTGGAGGCTGTCCTGGAACTCTCTTTGTAGATCAGGCTGGCCTCGGACTCACAGAGATCTGTCTGCCTCTGCCTCCCGAGTGCTGGGATTAAAGACTGGGATTTCCTCTTAAAAGATTGCAAAAGCCAGGTGTGGTGGCACATGCTTTTCACTTTAGTATTTGAGAGGTAGAAACAGGAGGATCAGGAGTTTAATGTCATTCTTGGCTACACACAGAGTTTAATAATAGC